CTTCTAATAAAAGAAATGAAATCAGTTTTGGGAATTAGGCATATCAAAGGGCCTGTTCTTTTATATCCTTGCCTTAGAATCAACCACATCACAATTTATTTTCATACTTTATTTGTTTATTTTATTTATTTACAGTGTCATTAAACTATTATTTAATAATTTATTCCATTTATAGGCTGCCTGATCCACTGGGACTCTAGGGAGCACACAATATATGAAATTTAAAGCAATGCAGCCTACACCAATAGGGAAACATCTAGAACAGTGGTTCTCAATCTGTGGGTCGGGACCCCATTTGGGGTCGAACGACCATTTCACGGGGGTCGCCAAACAACGCAGTCCACCATTTTTTTCCCCTTTTCCTTAGCTGTGCTACTCCCTTTTATTCTATTGGCTTTTAAAAGCCAATAGAATAGACTCTCTTGAATAGAGTCTAATTCTATTGGCTTTCAAAAGCCAATAGGAATTGTCCAGTCTGTCTCTGCCCTGCTGAGCCCGCCAAAAGTCCCATTCTGCAAACGGTGCTGCAAGTTGTCTGCAGCGAAGGCGAGCTGTCTGGAAGTTTGCACCCCTCCCTGCTGAGCAACTACTAAAAATGTAAGTAAAAGAGGGCCAGGGGTGGGAGGTCGGAGGCCAGCGGGTGCAGGGAGGGTTGCTGGAGTGCGTGGGGCCCGGCGGGTGCCTTACCTCCCTTGGGCTGGGCCAGCTGGTGGCCCAGCCAGTGGTCGGCCTGCTCCGTCTCTGCCGCTTGCCAGCTACGACTCGGCCGGTGCAGGGGGTGGCACCACGCATGTGCGGTACTCCCAGGCAGGGAAAGTCCTCGACTTACAACCGGTTGGATAGTCCTCGAATTATGACCGGTTGTTTAGTCCTCGACTTATGACTGGTTGTTTAGTCCTCGACTTACGACTGGTTGGGGTCGCAGCATTAAAAAGGTTGAGAACCACTGATCTAGAAAAACCAATACAATCCTACCAATAAAACAAACAACAATGGGGAGGGTTGGGGAGGATATCATTCCAGGGGTTAAGTGCTATGGGGAGGGGGAGAATAGGGAATGTTTGTTTTTGCTATTTTTTCTCCTATAGCAATAAAAAATCCTATATCTCTCATTTCTTTCAATCTGAGTCAATTAACTCACACGTTTAACAGTGTTAAACAAAGACACTCTTGAGTTTTCTCAAAGACCAATCAACTAAGCCTAGCACGCAGGCATTCTGATATAAAAGTTATTACATTTCTGAAACTGAGTTACAGTTAAGTAAATTTTATATATATGAAAACAACTTCACTTTCCAAACGTGTACAATAGAGCCAACATGATGTAACTCATGTGCAAGGAAAAGGCAGCACAAGTCTGGGTAAAGTGCAAGGTTTACAGAAGGACAAAAATATTAAGGAAAAGGGGAAAGGGGAATTCCCAACCATCCAGTGAGAAAGGGACTGGCTCCATGGGGAGGGAAGGAGCCCAAAAGGTGAAAAACTGGGTGGAGAGATGGAATGGAATATTTTTTAAAAGGTGTGGCTGGTAGTTGGAAAATAGACAGTCCACACTATAATATAATGTCTGTTAACTTTGGAAACTTTAAGCAGTGTGTACGTGGCTGGGGAATTCTGGGAGTTGAAGCCCACATTGCTTAAAGTTGCTAAGATAGAGAAACACTGCTACAATAGTTATTTGTATCAGGTCCCATTTCTGTTCCACTTTAATATTAAACAGAATATCGATATTAATTAATATAATTTAAATCTCATTTTTAATATAACCCACAAAACTGTTTATTCTTTTGCATTCTCAGAAGCTTCAGAAACTGGATCACTTTTAGCTAACTTGGCTGGCATTCACAGACCTTTAAAATAGCCACCTGACCTGATTCTTTATGCCCAGTTTTTATCAAAACCTAATTGTTGTTTTTAATTAAAAAATTATCTTTGGCTTTTTCCCTGAATATCTTCCTTCTCTTTCCTGATACAGTAAGACCTGTGAAGCAAATTTAAACTTTCACAGTTATAAGAATAATTAAAGTTCATAATCACCCGGAATTTATTTTGACCTTTTAAGACATTTACAGTGCAATCTGGTCACATTTAACTGGTGTTTACCAGTTAAATTATCACTTCTTGAGATGATGAAATGCAGTTGATAAGATACCAGAAACTGGTCACTGTGATGACTGTTCACTAGTGTCCTTATTTAAACCTGCCTAAGATGGAAAGTTGGACAAAAGTATAGCATTTTCTTCAATAAAGAAGAAAATAACATTTTTTTCCAATGAATTTGGCAGAAATTCTATGTGGACATTTACTTAAGAATAATCATTATTGAACTGAATTAGAATTTTTAATAAGCATGTTCTGATATTTCATTTATTATTTTACTTATATATTTTTATTTATTGCCTTTTTTAAAGTATATGTTTATGCATATACATACTTTGAAAAGACAGAAGATAAACCTAGGTGCTGTCAACTCATTGACAATGAACACATTGGTTCTTACTTCTGAATAAATAATACAGATTTTGCTGTAAGATTATACTCTTATACATTCTTTCTTGTTATTATGAAGCTTCTTATGAAGTTCATGGACTTGGTTCCAAGAAAACTCACCACACCGGCTTTCTGGGCAGCCATGCTACACAGACTTAACTATAGGAGTAAATCCCATTTAATTCAGTGAGACTTACTTCCAAGCTTAGATCGGAATAAATCCTAGATTTACTAATGACTCATCTTCATATAAATAAAGTTGACAGATGTAGATATTTTCCTTCTATCCTTTTACAAGATCACTTCAGTAAAAGCAAGCAATCTGCTGTTAATATTCATCTGTGTCATCTTTTCAAACTTTAGGTCCCTTGCTTATCTTGGACTTTATCATTCTTAATTTCTGGTCAATATGTCCAATATCAGATCTATTAATGCCTCTCCCCCCAACATAGCTGTGGAAGACACAAAAATCTAACTCTCAAAGATCCTGGACATCATCTCTACATTGAAATCCTGAAATCAACCTATAGCTGCTGTCTGAAGTAAATATACTAGGCGGAATTACAGGTGGTCCTAGACCAGGAGTCTGCAACCTTGACAACTTTAAGACGTGTGGACTTCAGTTCCCAGAATTCTTCAGCGAGCATAGTTTGACAACTTTAAGCATAGCTGGCTGAGGAATTCTGGGAGCTGAAGTCCACAAGTCTTAAAGTTGTCAAGGTTGCAGACCCCTGTCCTAGACTTACAACAGTTCATTTGGTGACCATTTGAAGTTACAATAGCACTGAAAAAAGGTGACTTATGACCATTTTTCACACTGAAGACCATTGCAGCATCTCTGTGGTCATGTAATCAAAATTCAGATGCTTAACAACTGATTCACGTTTATGACGGCTGCAGTATCCCCAGGTCATGCGATCCCCTTTTGCCACCTTCTGATCAGCAAAATCAATGGGGAAGCAAGATTCACTTAACAACAGGGTTATTCCCTTAATAACTGCAATGATTCACTTAACAACTTAGCAAGAAAGGTCATAAAATGGGGCAAAAGTCACTTAGCAACTGCCTCACTTAGCAACAGAAATGTTGGGCTCAATTGTGGTCATAAGTTGAGGACTACCTGTACTTTATAGCAGGGGTCCCCAACCCCTGGGCCATGGACCAGTACCAGGCCGCAGCATGTCAGCAACTGATCCGCACAAATAAGGAAAGCCCCATCTGCAGGATGCAGGCAATGCACAAAACCACGTCCCCTCAGTCCACAGGAAAACCTCTCTCCATGTAACTGGTCCCTGGTGCCCAAAAGGTTGGGGACCTCTGCTTTACAGTGTTATAATTCCAAACTGAGCTGCTTTAATACCTGGAATGATGAGAACAGTAGATAGCTCTTTTGAGAGCTTTGTAGTAAGCAACAAATAATTGAATAATTAATTGATAATGGAAAAGGAGATGTCTACCCACCCAGATCAAAAAATGAAGAAACCAGATTAATTTCTGATGTGAAAAAGTTAACTTTCTTTTTTATCTGAATATTTAAAATATAAAACATACGAATTTGCCTTTGGATGGTAGGTCACAAGTTTCCAGGAAAGAAATAGGCAGGTAATTTCACACACCTAAAAAGCACCTTCCCTCGCATTATAATATTACGTACGAAAACAAAACTGACAGTTCAAACCGGAGCATCCTGCTCAGAGCAGAGGCGGTGCTCGCTACCACTCAGCTCGCCACCTACCGATGACCGAAGGTATCACCAGCTAACAAAGTTAAACTTTGAATTTTGCCGTCCCGCTTCCCGCAGCTTCCCGTAACTGAGTGAATGATACAGTCACCTGATTATTATTTGGTCTAGAGAGACTATCGGAAAACATGTTGGAAATGACAAGTTGGGGAATGACCTTAAACAACGAGCCGCAATAACTTTTTCTACGCATTGTTTTTACACAGATAATCTCGGCATGTCAAACTGGACCTGTAGCTTCTGGAGCGCGCGTTAAGGAGAAAGGTGGTTTCTTTCATCCTAACACCCCCGCCGGAAGAACCCCCTGAAGACCGACAGAACTGTAAAAACAGCAACTAGCAAAGCACCAGAACGAGGAAATGAAATGGGAGTTTTTCTTTCTTAGGCGTGCCTATTAAAGAGCGCTCCAAGTTTCATTCGGATGAATGAACTTTTACTTTCAGTTGGTCTGATTTCAAAGGGAAAGAGAAATTGCGTGATATTTTTTGTTTGTTTTGATTTCAGTTCATCAGTTTTGCAAACAAGTGAAATCTCTTTAATTTCTTTGATCAGAACTTTTCTCCCGTCTTCGTCCTCCTTAAAGCACCAGAAAAACCCGCCGCATCATTAGAACTAAAGAGATGGGAGGACGCGAGTTTCTAAGCACCTTTTCCCCCTTTTACATATCCAATCACAATAGCTGGATAAAGAGCAAATACCTTTCTCCCCCCCCCCGGACTTTAGCCTTTCGTTTACCCCACTCTTCCCCGGTATCTCGCTCGCTCCCTACCTGCTCACTCCAGTTCTTCTGCGCGCCTTTCTCCTTCGCAGCAAAGAACTACACAGAAAGTGAAACAGCGAACACAAGGGAGTGCGAACTCGCAATCGTGAGAGTGGGCTTTACGAAATGTGTGTTGTCGGGACTCCAGGCAAAGCAGAATAGGTGCCGCCGCTGCCGCCGTTCCCCGATCCTGGCTGGCAGCGATCGCCGCTGCGACTCCCTGGCTCTGAGCGCCTCCTCGAACCTCTAGCTCCCCGCGCGGTTGCATCACCCCCTTTATATAGCCAGCGGGCAGCGCTGTTATTTATCCTGGCCGCGAGTCGAAGGTGATGTCATGCCAAGACTCCTTAGTGGGAGAGCGGGACAGAAGGGGTGGAGCCAGGGCTGCGGGGGCGGGGCCTCCGAGTGACGCAAGGCCTTCCCCGCTCCCCGGGAGAGGGAGGCTCAGTTCTGCTTAAGCCGCCGGCTAGAAAGGAATGCCCTTCGTGGCCGAGGGGTCGCTCGCGAGGCAACGGCGCCAGATCGCCGGCATCTCTCCGCAAAGCGGACCCGCGGAGGATTTGGGGAGGCGGGCGGCGGTGACCCCGGAGGGGCGGGGGTCGTCGCGGTCTTCCTCAATTAGGCGACCGAAAGGAAGTCCCGGAGAGGATGCGTTGCCATTTTGCTCCTTAACAGGGTGACAGTCGCTTCTTCCTCGTCTGAGGTCTCCGGCGCCAGGCTGGGTATTTGCGCGAGAGAGAAAGATTAAGATGAGTTTGCTGGTCATCTCCACCGCCTTCTCCATTAATAAGGCATCTACGTTCTTCTGATTCGCCGGCTTTCGTACTGAGTTGTATAATAAGACGGCACATTCAAAGCCACACTTTTCAGGTATAACTATCACGAGTCTCACACACGCATACCCATCCCTGCCCTAAGAAAATGGCTTGTGGAAGCAGCAGAGGTCCGAAATTGGAATCAGAGGGGCAACTGAGTGGAAAGGAGTGCGCGGTATAATATCCACTCTAAAGCTACGATCGGCCAAATTGTTAAAATAATACAATTTTAAAGTCCCCGCATCTCTCTTTTTATCCAGATTCGATTGTCCGCCCCCACCACCAAATTCTTTCCATTGATTTTCCCATTTGACTTTCCTACCATATGAAAATGCTTTTCCCCATGTACCTCCTTTTTAATGCAGTCTCTCAGTCTTGCCTGATTTTATTATGAACAAGAACAACAACAAAAAAACCCGGTTAAACCTGCCTTTGAGTCCAGGAAAAAGAGAAGACTGCTGCCGGATCTTTTCAACGTATGTTCATAAAGTCCCACAATTGTAACGGGACTCTCAGGCTCGCATTGCCGCAAAAACCTCTCACACCATTCTTAAAAGAAAAGCCATTATCTCCATTTCGATGACTATTTAGCCCTGTCTTAGTCCAGCCCCGATTAATTCTGAAAATAAAATTCTCGTCTGAGAATACCTGAGCGACCCGTTTTGAATACCACGTGGACATGATACCCACCCCCTCCCACACTCATACACTTTCAAAGAAGTTTCCACCTAACTACTGGAGGTTGGGAGAGCGATAAGGAAGATAATTTCGATTCTTTTCCTCCCCATTTTCTTGCACCACCACTAGAATAAACGAGAATGTAAGTTAGCTGGAAGCGATGAGCTGACGTATTTCCGTGGGAGTGGAGGAAAGGGCGCGTGCAGGTCGAAACGTACCTCGTGGAAACTCTTGCAAAAAGTGCTGGGCATGTTTTTGGGTTTCCTTTCTTCTCTTTCCTCGTTAGTTGGCTGCCCTCACTCGAATGCAGTTATTTCTGGGTAACCTTGCTTCAAAAATGAGAAGAGCATTTTCCCAGGACCCCATATTTTATTTACAAAGTAGATACCATTAGCTAGTCTTCTACTGAGTTAAATGAAGCCTTGGACTTGCCATGCACCTTTCCCAGAGGATAAATTCGGAGAGGCCTCAGCTGAAGCTCTCTAAAGCAGTGGTTCTCAACCTTTTTAATGCTGCGACCCCCCCCAACCGGTTGTAAGTCGAGGACTACTCAACCGGTCGTAAATCGAGGACTACTCAACTGGTGCAGCACCGTTTGCAGAATGGGACTTTTGGTGGGCTCAGCAGGGCAGAGACAGCCTGGACAATTCCTATTGGCTTTTGAAAGCCAATAGAATTAGACTCTATTCAAGAGAGTCTATTCTGTTGGCTTTCAAAAGCCAATAGAATAAAAGGGAGTAGCACAGCTAAGGAAAAGGGGAAAAAATGGTGGACTGCATTGTTTGGCGACCCCCGTGAAATGGTTCTTCGACCTCAAATGGGGTCCCGACCCACAAGTTGAGAACCACTGCTCTAAAGGCCTGAGGGCTGGCTCCAAATAATAATCATATACAGAGGAGACCCTTTCAAATGAAAGAAATGAAAGTTGGTTTTGACTCATTGGTTTCAATGGGAGGTTCTGTAGATTGCATCAAATTTTATGTTTAATTCCCATGACAACCTCTCTTAAGTCCCAATAGAATTACATCCAAAAGCTGATTTTTCACTGAGGTCATTTTCACACTAATCACTTATTTATAACATTTGTAAGTGTAGAAGACATTATCAATTAATAGGGGAGGCCTCTATATCACCTTTGGCATTCTGTGCATTTGACACAGGAATATAAAATCAACATTGCTTTGTCTGTACCTTGTATTTTAAAATGGCTGCCATGCTTCTTCTCTTTGGTAATGTGCATTTATAGGCAAAAATGTGAAAAATCATGATAGGATTGGAATTGGTGTACAATATTTAGTTTGTTAATCTATATGGCCGCCATTTTTAAAACTGACTCTTGATGGCTAACAAAAAAGTTAGTTAAAAAAACTCACCAACAATAACAAAAACCAGTGTATCCACAGAATGTAGCTGAGGACAAACTGACAATACATCTATTTTGTATGTTCACCAAGCTGAGTTACTGTAAACATGCTGGTCTTGTGAATGGGCTAGTTTTGAAATACTTGGCCAGTTTTACAAATTACACTTAAAGGAGTTTTGTATTTTCCATTAAAAATATATAAAATAGACAATAGATATAATTATTGTGATACATAATTCAAATAGATTATTACCTTGAACTGAAGGTTACATGTAGTGATGACAGTTGGAGAAACACCATGGTTTCCATTTATTTTCTGCTGGAGTCAGCTCTTGTTCCATGACTGTATTTTTCTTATTCTAATAAAAAGATATGTTTTGTCTGGTTTATTTATTTAGGTTTGAAAACATTAAGAATTCTTTCAGTTAAGGAAAATGTAGCTTAAAAATACTGAATTGTTATATTGATCCCATAAATATATATATAATAGTTAATAATGCCTCTCATTTACTATATTTAGTATTGATGTATGACGCCTTATTTATCAAGGATGGAAAGAAAGATGACTGTTTAAGTTGCAATCTAATTATATAGTTTTATAATAAATTTCCATTCTGTATCATTGAGGGTTCTCCGAGAATTAGATGGTCTGCAAAAACTTATGCTAGTTAGTTAATAAAAGGTATAACTTTTTCTCTGTTTATAACTCTTGATATGTATTTAACTTATTCCATTTCATCTACCTTAACCTGATCCTAAACTTGATTTATTTACAAATGAATTCTACTAAATTTCACTGAATTCTCCTGTAAATAAATCTGCTGCCTAAGGCAGCAATCCTAAACTTTCTTTATAAAGCATTATTTAACATTCAATTAAACTTAATTTTGATTAAGTGTATTTGGTACATAAAGTACTTAAGTACATAAAGTATAATCTTATCTTCCAAAGCATCCACTCTTTCTGTGAATTGTTACAGAATAAATAAATAAATAAATAAATTCCACATTTTATAGCGTTTTACCTGATAAAATAAATCAAAGAAACATGAATATAGTTGAGATACAGTTTTCAAATCCTAATCCTCCTCCTTGACTGAAAAAGCTCTTTTTAGTTTATCACCTTAATAGGTTCTTTATCTATTAAGACCCTAGGTCAGGGGTAGGCAACCTTGGCTCTTTCATGACGCATGGACTTCAACTCCCAGAATTCTGGGAGCTGAAGTTCACGAGTCCTAAAAGAGCCAAGGTTGCCTACCCCTGACCTAGGGTATAACCAACTCAGACTATTGTTCTAACTCAGTATTGTCTAAGATAACTGGAAGCAGCTCTCTCAAGTTTTCAGAAGAAAAATTTCCCAGCCTTTCCTGGGATAATGAAGTAATTGAACATGGGACCTTCTGAAAACAAAATATGATTGGACCACTGAACCATGGTTGCAGGTTCCCCAAACAATATTGAGGTCTTCAAAGGAAATTATTCAAAAAGCATGTTTGATTATTTATGTATTTTATTTATTAAAATATATATGCTTCCTATTCTTATTCTAGGCAAACATATGAACAAGCATTCATAAAATTATAAAATTCAACCATAAACTCAATAAATAATCAAAATATTTAAATTATAAATATTGTAAACCTTATAGCTGCTACCTAGTAGAGAACTGTTTCTCCCATTTTCCAAAACAGGGTAAAGGCACACCCAATTCTGGAGAGCAGTCTGTTCCAGAGGAAGGTGGCCACTACTGAGAAAGTCAATCTTTGCATCCCAGATCATCTTAAATCTTTTAGGTTGGTTAGCCGGATCATCTTATGATATCTTTCAATAAACAATATATTCATGCATCCAGACCTATACAACTCTTGGTGTTATAATAATAATAATAATAATAATAATAATAATAGTAGTAGTAAAGTTGGAAGGGACCTTGGAGGTCATCTAGTCCAACCCCCTGCTCGGGCAGGAAACCCTACACCATTTCAGACAAGTGGCTGTCCAGTCTCTTCTTAAAAACTTCCAGTGTTGGAGCATTTACCAGCATCTTTGACAGACCATCTTCACTAGTACAGACAAAGTTAATGACTAAGCTCATCACAGCAGATCCTACTTTGTTTTTTGCATATTTATATTTTAATCGCTGTATTGTAAACTGTTTTGAAGTGTGATTAATTGTTCTAACTGTCAGGAAGTTTCTCCTTAGTTCTAGGTTGCTTCTCTCCTTGATTAGTTTCCACCCGTTGCTTCTTGTCCTGCCTTCAGGTGCTTTGGAGAATAGCTTAATTCCCTCTTCTTTATGGCAGCCCCTGAGATATTGGAACACTGCTATCATGTCCCCCCTTGTCCTTCTCTGTTGATCTTATGGTAGACTTTGACCATCCATGGGATGATCAATTGCTATAGGTTTGGATGGATTTAGAAAAACAGATTCTTGCCCCCACCGAAAAAAAATTACAGAAAATTTTCTTCCA